AGATTTCAACTTTCAGTGAGCAGAGATATGACTGCCTCCAAGCTGTTCAAATACAAGAGATGACATGGCTACATAGCTTTTTCCTTCCCACTAGCATGTGCTGAAAGAAATGTGTCGCCAACTTCAAATGAATCGTCTCCAACAACAATAGCAAGGGCAGTCAGTGAATCTTTGCAAATGATCAAAGTCTTTTCTAAACAGTAGTTTTTTCTTTGTATCAAGTATCCAAAGACTTTAACTCATCTAATTCAATTCATGTACATAGGTTTCTAAGTAAAAATGATTTATTTAACAGGTACCTGGGTTTCAACTCATAACTTAAGGTTTTAATTATAAGGATTGAATGAAATAATGAGCAATAACGAACCCTAGAAAAATATCAAATGAGATAAACCAGTTGGCCCAGGCTAAGTGGGATCATGGCCAAAATTCAGTGGAAGAACTTGTAATCCAAAAACGTGTTCTCCATAAATACAGAAATTCACAACAAGAGGAAGCATTTAAGATGGTAGTCATCCACAAGAGAATTACATAGGAAGTCAGAGTGAAATGATCAAAGTTCTCAATTTAAACAAGAAAAAAAAAAGTTATAGAAGATGTACTGTTACATCTACTTTTTATTAGAGTATATATTCTTACAATTAGGAGGCATGGTAAAGTAATGGGTAGTGGCTTGGATTGAGAAATTGGAGAGGCAAGTTAAGGTATCCTTGGGAACAAGATGAATCCATCTCTTCCCAAGTTATGGGTAAATAGCAGGACAGATTGGGACCTATAGTCTTGATTGGCAACCAGTCTAGGAGAAAGAAAATTCTGAATTCAAACCACCTGGTGCATTGTAGGTCGTGCCTATTTAACTTCTGAGAGGAGGGACAGGGTAATTTCAACATCCCTGGTACAAAAAGAACCACCAAGCCATTGCACTATTCTGCCTTGAATGTCATCATGAACCACAATTGTGAAATGAAGGGGAGTAGTAACCACAGTGGTACTAGTTGTACTAACTGAATAAATGATGATGATGATGATGATGATATTGTCATAATTATTGTTTTATTATAAGCTTTATCTTTATCTCTTATTGTGCCTAATTTGCAAATTAAATTTTATAGAAAGTATGTATCGGAATATATATATATATATATATATATATATATATAAATAAAAAGAAAGAACAGTAAGATATAAAATCCGGTGTTCTTATAGATATTTTTATTTTTACAAAATAGTGCTCAATGTAAATTTACAGAGCATTAATATTATAAATTAATTGATTTAAAATATGTTTTTTTTTTTACACAGTTCCAACCATGTTTCAAAAATAGAAGCTAAAAAATGGTTGGAACTGTGTAGCTAAAAAAAAAACATTTTAAATCAATTAATTTATAATATATATATATATATATATATATATATATACATACATACATACATACAAGATTCATTACTGTGTAAATTTAGAAAATATATGACTTGTGATGAATAGTGTTAAAAAAGAATGCATCAGAATACACCAACTTCCCCATTTGGTGAAATGAGGAAGGTACTGCTGCTGGGTTACAATCTCCTGGACTAAGCTTCCAGTATTGCATTTCTATGAACTACTCCAGGTAGTAGGTGCCCAGGAAGAGGATACCAGGTGAAGCAGAATGATTGAAAGAAAATTAAAGATTTAAAAACAGTTTTAAAAAATTCATATGCCAAAATAAATATGATTTAAAAATTTAAAATATTATTATGGATCACTTGTAATTGCATGCATGAGTCCTTTTATAAATAGTTGTAAATAATTATTGGCCAATTTTATCATTTTGATATTTTTGCATTATATCAAGTATTAAGAATATAGTAACTAGAGTCTGTAAATTGGAGGAGAGAGTTATCAATGATAATGTTCTTACTTTGAATCTGTGGTTATCTCCCTTTAACCCTCTCTGTTTTTTAATTTTTAAATGTACTTTTTATCACATAAAATTTGGTGAAGCGTGAGCAAATTTTATTCTGAAAATGCAGCCCAGAAAAAAAAAAGGTTGGGAACCATTGAATTACTCAAAAGCAGAAACATAGAATTGAAACAGATACTAAACTTTGATCACAGTCTGAAGGTGAAGTAAAAGAATGCTAAAACTTCTAAAGTAGAACCCAAAAAAATACTAACTTCATCTTGAATATGCCATGTTTGCTGCCCTATATCATAAAATATTCTGACTATAATTTCTACAATACAAAATGATACATTGAGGAAATTATACCAGCTTAAGAACAAATGCCAAGTTATTAGAGTGTGTGTACATATATATATATATATATATATATATAGTGTACTAAGTTAGAGATGTGCAAGTTATCTAACCTGTCTATGCCAGTAAAAATAAAGTTGCAAAGAAACACAAAACTTGCTGCTACTTTGAAAAAACATTGGAAAATATTCATTTGCTATGTCCACACCTTGTGTACTTAAAGACTTTTTTTACATTTACTTTATTTTTCAAGTCTGTAAGCAAGAACTCTTCTAATGAGGAAGTAAAATAAATTTAACTTTTCACTATAGGTAAATTTTTACATCTTTGAACAGCAAGCAAATCTATTTTTTTTATAGAACAACCTTTTTATATCTCCCAACAATTAGTAAAATAAACAATTTATTCTTTTAGTTTCATAGACCTTTTTTGAAACCATTTCATTTAACTTTTTACAGTTGAAATTTCCAAATTCTTGTGTTTTTCTGTTAGGTGAAAACAGTTTGCCTTTGAATTTTAATAATATTGTTCATATTGATTTGCATGTCTACATCTGTAATTGTTTACTTGTCTATAATGATGCTCTTGAATGCATTTTATTTTTAACTGTAAGGCAACTAAAGAATAAAGGGATTTTATTTTTTTAATCAGACATTTTTATTACTTCAAAGGTTATTTTTAGGGGATATCCATATTTGAGTAGACCTTCAATGTTTTTTTTTAAATGTTTATTTCATCAACCAGCCTGTGCACTTAAGAAAACAAAGAAAATATGCACCCACCCCAGAGTTCCTCTCTGCAGCAGAAACCAACATCTGATCTGTTATATTTTGACTGCTCCACTACACAGAGCTTCACAGTGTAGTAAGGTTTGGTTTTGTTTATTTTGTTTTAAGGCATATCAACCTCAATGAGACATTTAATGCTGACAAGATTTTTAGGATAAGTTCATATGAATAGAATATATATTCTTTGTAAGAAATCAGTTTGTAGATCAAGTTTCAATGATGTATTTTTTTAAAGAGTCTTTTTGTCAAGAGTCAAATGTATTGCTGGAAGTATTTTTTTCCAAAAATGTATTAAGAGGGGGTTTCACATACCCAATGCCTCATTGGGGTGGGGGTCTTACCCTTCTGCAGAGGTACAGTCAGAATATTCTGAAGCCCCAATTGACAGGGCCGGTGTAGTAAGGTTCTACAAAGGACAAATTTTCTTTTATTAAGTTTTCTTGAGAGCACAGACCAGTAGAAATAAATACTTTTTTTTTTTTTTTTTTTTTAAAAAAGAAAGAAAAATCAAGTTTGTATTGTGTAATAATGTCCTATTTAAGAGATCTTCTTCCAATCTTTCACTTGCAATTTTTATCTCTTAACACTTCCACTGTTGGGAGGGTTGTTTAACTTAGACTGTACTACAGAATCTCTTAAAGAAAACAAAATGGTAACATTCATAAGAAATCACGATGAACATCTTTATAGTCATATATATTTCTAGCAAATGCCAATTTTTTGTCCCCCACTAAAGAAATGGGCCAGTACAGCTAGGCAACAATACTATAATAATGCAGCAGTCAAAGTGTTAATAAATATCACTGTTTTGCTACCACAGTTCAGCATATCTATTGTTTTAATTTCCTTTGTTGGTCCCCTTTTTAGTTTAGTTACTGTTTTTGATCACTTCCTGTCTACCCTGTAGGAATCGCCAGAACCAGCATGATAAGGCACAGGCTCAAAGCACACAATTCAAATTTTCTTATCTTCCCAAATCTACCCCCTATAATAGTATTGTCTGTACGTTCTTAACCTTTTCTTCTCTGCATTTGTCTCTTTTAATATCATTATTTGAACATTTATTTAAGATAGCCACTTTTATACATTCTTTTTTTTATTTATTTTACTGTCATATCTCTCCATGTAGAACCCCTTTCACCATGTGTTGACGGTTTTGAAACTGTAACTTCATGTAACTTTCTTCCTTTAGGAGAACTGCAAACTTTATAGATATTCATGTAAGCAAACTATTTGCTGCTTTGCTTTAATCATTTAGAATGATGGTTTTACTATGTTTAGTCTTTGCCATATTCATCTTTCTTTCCTTTTTTATTTGTTATTCAGACTAAACTAGTCTCAAGATTGTCTTTATTTCTTTTTCTAGTTTCACCCCTTTTGATTTTCAATGAACCTGCTGATAAACAGGACTGACTTCAGAGTTTTGACTGCTGTAAGGTGTTTATCCAGTTGCCTGAGGTATGCATATGTGCAAGATGGACATATACTAGGGGGTAGAACAATTTCATATCTTTATACATCAATGTTAAAAAACATTTTTTCAATATTTGTCTGATTCAATCAGGCATCATTTTACAATAAAAAGCAGAAAACTTACATTCTCTTTAGTTAAATCAATAACCATCATCTTCAAGCAATATGAAGTGGTTGTATTTTTGAATTTGAATGACTGAATATTACAATCCATTAAATAATGCTAATTTAATAATAAATGGCTTAGCACTGAAAAACCATCTTCACATGTAGAGTTCTGGAATAAGTTGCTTTAAACAAACAGTAACCAAAAAAGGGTTTTTGTAAAATTATGTCTACTAGGTATTGTCTAAACTTAGTTGGACACAAAGTCAAAAGACTGGGCTACCGAATAAGGATTGAACTTGATATAGTCATGATTGTTGATGAGTTTAGTTTATATAGCAGAATATGAATTAAAAATTATGGTAAATTATAAGTACAAAGCAAAAATGCTCACCTTATCACGATTCTTCTCCTTTAGAAAAGGTTTGATCATTTTAAAAATGGCTTCGATGTACCAAGGTTGGTTAATAAAGTGTATTCCACCAAATCTTGCAGGAAAGCAATCCTGTAGAATGAAAAACAAAAATAATCTTCATTTTAAACATTATCACATGTAAAAAAATTTTATGGACAAATAATGTATCTATAATAATATCTAAAAATGAATAAACAGATTAGAGTTATGATCTTCTATGTGCTATGTCTCTTCAGGATGTAGATAATCATGGCTCTCCACAACTTCCTATCCTTTGTAGTTCTTAATAAGGTTTGTCTTTTTATTATCCTACCCATTCTGTGTTCTGCTACCACTAAGGAGGTCCTTTCTGTTTTCCTATCAATTTTACCTTCAATATTTCCAGTGAGTGCCTAATTCTCTACGTCCTTCTCCAGTAATTTCAATTTTCTCTTTCTGATTCTAAGTATAATTATCCTTTTTGTTTCCATATTCCTTAAAACTTCTTCATGGTATCCTTAATATCTTTCTATAAAACCACATTTCTATTGCCTCAAGTATCTTAGTTTTTCAGACGACTGAATTCATTCTCTCTCTCTCTTTCCATATTAGATTATGTATTTGAAGAACTAAAAGCCATAGAATGGCATGGCCAAAACATCATAGTAACAAGAGTAATAGAAACAATGAGTTCAATGTTGTAGACAACTCTTGGAATGATAATAACCCTTCTTAAAATTACAAAGGGAATGAGATCATTATGTAAACATAGCTCCAGGACCCTTTCTCAGTCTTTCACTGACCAGACAAATCACTCCACATTGTTTCTCATTTGTGCTGATGCACACAAAAACTGGGAAAAGCATATTGTCTGTCCACAAGGTAATGGGAGGTGAAATTAATGCCAAGGAGAGAAAAACATGATCCTGCTTCTTATATACTTGCTTGTTTATTCATGTATTCACTTGCACAGTCTGGGGACATAAATGACAGTTGATTGATCTACTTCAACTATGACAGACTAACAGGCGAGATCTTCTCTTTGGCTAGCAAGAACTTTCATTTTCCTATCACTCCTCTGCTCATCTTTGTATCACAATATTTGGTTCACAAATCCCTAACAGGCAGTCTGGAACACTCAATAGACAGCCTGTATTCTGCCAACAGGCAACATTTTAACTACTCTCAGTTATAACAGTGACTGGTTATATAAGCCTGAAAGTGGAACTTTCTAACTTCCTATCAAGTGACACTTGTTCCTGAAAGTTTTCAGTTATTTCATTTCCTTTTGGTTAATAGGTGGTTATTTGAAGATCTTTGTCGATTTTATTGTTGGTTACTTAAGACTCAAAATCATTTACTGTCCACTTCTATATGAGAATTCTGATCCAATCATCTGGGATAACCCATAGCATTAGAAATAATTAAAGCAACTCTTGAAATAATAATGACAATTCAAAAAATTATAGCAGGTATTTTAAACAAAAAAGAATGAGATCAATAATTCAAATAACTACTAATTAAAGAAAGTATCATTGATACAAATTGTCACACCAAGCAAGGCAATAATGCCACAAGGACACAAGGGGGTTACAGAGAGTGAAAGTGAATGAGAAGACTTTAATGAGGACAAGTCAGGAAAAGACAAAGGAACAAAAAAACAGAAAATAGCGATTAACATTGCATTTAAATTTTTGAAGATTGTTGGTGGCAGGGAAGCAAGTAATTGAAAGAAAGTTCCACAGGTTAGAAGTGTGAGAAAAGTTGTTAAAATAGAAGAGATGGTTGCATTTAGCTAGTTGAAATGATGAAATTCATGTAGTCGAGCCACTAAGGAAGAAAGCTCATCAGAAAAGTTGCCATGAAGATACGTCACAATAGGAGAAAGTGACTGAAGGTCAAGATCGATTAAATTACAAACCCTTCTTTGAATTTTGTCAAGAATCTTGATCAGTGGTTTTTAACCTTTTTTGAGTCTTGGACCTCTATAAGAACTAGCCCTTCATAGACAGACAAGCAGATACTCAGTCTGTTTTTTCACAACAGCATTTCTCCATACTGCACTCTCATGCACACTGCACACACATCACTTTTAAAGTAGCCACACTTGAAAGAAATTATGGACAATTAATCCTCACCAGCATAAAAGAAAATAATCAAGCCATGACACAGCATAAAAAAATGAGAATTATTATTTGCACTTATGAGGTATCAAAAGATGGCAGTTTTGCAGAGAATGATGACATGTTTAAATGTTTTTGCATATTTCTCAAATGTAACCTAACAGTAAGTTAAGAGATGCCTAGTGGTCAACACTGTAAGTAGTGACTGAGTGTATTTTCTTTTATTTCTTTCAATGTATAGCAAATATAAATGTTAATTTTTATCTGATCAACATGGACCACCTGAAACTCATTCATGAACCCCAGGTTAAGAAGCCCTGATCTAGAGATATATGGTAGGAGCAACAGATCAGATTGTAGAAGACTGTAGAATAAATTACTAGAAAAGTTGTAATAACAGCAAAAATAACATGAATTTACATTCAATAGTCCAGACAATTTTTATATATTAAAATCTCAAAGGACTGTAGCTGAGTAAGTTGTTTTTGCTATGCATATCGGTAATCACCAAAAATATTGTGGGGGGTTCACTCACATCATAACCAGAGAAATTAGCCTTGGGTTCACAGAGATAAAAGCATACTTGAGAAGAAATAAAACCTACAGAAATAACAGGAAAAGTGTGGTAAGTTGTATCTTAATTTCATATAATTTATTTATATTTTCCTTGAGTATTTTTTCAGGTTACAATTGTTTTATGGCACGTGATAAAACAGAGAAGTTTACTCTGTAGTATTACAAGCCATATCACAGAGAGAAGTCAGACATGTGCTGCCTTTACTAAGATTCATGGTAAAGAGATTGAATTTAATGTCTTTTGACAGAATGTTCATATTTCTAGCAGGAACAGTTTTTGTTGCATGCTGGGAGTATTTTTATTATTTTTATTTAATTTATTTTAAAAATAGTTTAGGTATTATTGTTTTATTTTATTTTATTTATAATTTCCATTATTATTATTTTATTTTTATTTCTAATAATAATAATAATAATAATATCCCTACAGGCCAACAAATTGAAAAGAATGAGATGAACAGAGGATTTTTCGCATATTTCTCAAATGTAACTCTAAATCACAACCATTGATGTCATTTCAAAGAACTGTTCTCCTTGGTTAATCAAGGTTTACCTTTGCTATGATTCATTGTAAACTATTAGTGCATGAATGTTTTTTTCATTCAGGTAAATAATTTTTATATCAGCCAAAGTGAAAAAACAGGAGAATATTTCCAATTACAATAATTAATAAAAAGATTTGCCTTTGAATTGACATTGAAAGTCAAGGCTATTGTGTACTAGACCCGACCGGTAGAGGGTAAGCCTGATTAGGGTACACCAGGTAGTGCTTTGTGACCCTTGCTATCTTATCAATATTTTTTTCTACCTACATTTATATGTGTTAGAAATTAAACCAAGCACAACTATTTAAAAATTTCCATGGATTTTGACATCATTCTAGTGTCTTGTTTATTTTTCCTGAATTTGTTTGCCTCATGCTAAATCTCAAAAAAAAAAAAAAAAAAAAAATTAAAATTCACTATTTTTTTTTTTATCCATAATGTTGAATGTGTTAAAATTATTCAATTTTTTTAACAAGAATAATCTGAAGTTGAGGTTAAAAATTGCCGCAAAACATTGTTGATGTTTATTTATTTAAGATAGGACGTTCTCTATTATGACATGTCTCTAAATACAAGTTAATTAAAGACATTATATTTATTTTCAATTTTTCTATTTGAATTGTTCACCTATACTGCATATGATTCATTACTGTACATAATTAGATCACAATAAAATTTGTATTTTATATGAATACGGCCTTATGAAAATTGGGATGTAGTGGAGTGTGCAACCTGTCTGTATTATTAATTTGAAGTCGGGTGGGGGGACCAATCCTAATTGAAAGACAAATTTGTTTTGGTGTCAAATATTATAACACTTTTCATTATATCAACTGCCAATTAGATCATCAAATTTTCAGCTATTTACTGAATCCAAGTGAGTTATTATTTATGATGGATGGCATATTACTCAGTACTTTGAGATTATCAATATCACTTCTAACTCATATTTGTTAATATTATTTATTCAGAAACTTGATTTTCTGTCACTTTTTCTTTAATGTTTTTAAATTGTCTAATGATCAAAGATTTCATAGGTTAATAAATATGATCAATATGAAATTGATACAGAGATAAATAGATATAAATGAAGATAGATAAGTATTAATTGTAATAAAAATCATATTAAGCAATTCTTTCTTAATTGAATATCGATTATCTAGAAATCTATTTTTTTGGGGAGTTGTTTCTTTCTTTGAATTGTCTAATGGACATGATTTTGATAGGCAATAACAGAAAGATGAAGTGACAAAAGAAGATAAACATATTAATGATAATAAAATCATGTACGATTCATGTTGATTAACTGAATATTGATTATCAAGAAATATGTTTTCAAGAGTTACTTTGATTGTTTATGCCTTAATATCTTGTAAATGCCTCATGGGACAATTATTAGTGAAGAGAGTCTGGCTGGCCATTACTATTGAGTTATATGATTGATTCTCACTGGGGAACCACATACAAAAATCTTACATCAAATAATCCAACCAACCTAGCCTAATACCCTAAAGCAGATGTGTGTGTGTGCGTGCATATATATATATATATATATATATATATATATATATATATATATATATATATATATATATATAAAGAACAAGATAAAGAAAAATGTAAATGTATATCAAACTAACACATTTCACTTTTATTAAAGCTTCGTCAGAGATATTTTGAGAAAACATTCAGACTTCTTCGCCACCCATATCATTCCACCCTCAATGCTAAAAACGAGCTTACAAAATCCACAAAACCAGAAAAACAGACTACACAAAATTCACCCCTCCAACACTCTACTAAACGCAGATAAATTAGTCATCCCTAATACTAGTACTGTTACCATCACTTCCAAGACAATCGGATA